ACTTTTAAGGTTTTTCAAGAACTTTCTAGAAACCGCCGATAAATTTAGTAAGACCCTCAAAAAATCTGATGAGACCGCCGATAAATGTAGTGAGACCCTCAAGAAATCTAGTGAGACCCTCGAGGTTATGAAAAAGGACCAACTAGAAATTAAGAAGACACTGACTGAAATAAAGGATATTATGCAGAGTTCCAACAACAGACTAGAGGATCGCAAGAATCAAGTCAAAGATTTGAAATACGAAGAAGCAAAGAACACCCAACCGGAAAAGCAAAATGAAAAAAGAATCCAAAAATACGAAGATAGTGTAAGGAGCCTCTGGGACAGCTTCAAGCGTACCAAGATCCGAATTATGGGGGTGCCAGAAAGAGAGAACAAGATATTGAAAACCTATTTGAAGAAATCATGACAGAAAACTCCCCCTACCTGGTGAAAGAAATAGACTTACAAGTCCAGGAAGCACAGAGAACCCCAAACAAAAGGAATCCAAAGAGGACCACACCAAGACACATCATAATTAAAATGCCAAGAGCAAAAGACAAAGAGAACATCTTAAAAGCAGCAAGAGAAAGAAACTCAGTTACCTACAAGGGAGTACCCATACGACTGTCAGCTGGTTTCTCAACAGAAACTTGGCAGGCCAGAAGGGAGTGGCAAGAAATATTCAAAGTGATGAATGCCAAGAACCTACAACCAAGATTACTTTATCCAGCAAAGCTATCATTCAGAATTGAAGGTCAGATAAAGAGCTTCACAGATAAGGAAAAGCTAAAGGAGTTCATCACCACCAAACCAGTATTATATGAAATGCTGAAAGGTATCCTTTAAGAAGAGGAAGAAGAAAAAGGTAAAGATACAAATTATGAACAACAAATACACATCTATCAACAAGTGAATCTAAAAATCAAGTGAATAAATAATCTGATGAACAGAATAAACTGGTGATTATAATAGAATCAGGGACATAGAAAGGGAGTGGACTGACTATTCTTGGGGGGGAAAGGGGTGTGGGGGATGCGGGAAGAGACTGGACAAAAATCGTGCACCTATGGATGAGGACGGTGGGGGGGTGGGGTGAGGGCAGAAGGGGGGGTTGGAACCGGGTGGAGGGGAGCTATGGGGGGAAAAAAGAGGAACAACTGTAATAATCTGAACAATAAATATTTAATTAAAAAAATAAAAAATAAAATAAAATAAAATCCCACCAGTGCACATCCTCACCAAAAAAAACCAAAAAAACAAAACACCAATCAGAAAAAATGTATGCACCACTGTTCATAGGAGTATAATTTACAATAGCTAAGATCTGGAAACAGCCCAAGTGCCCATCAGTAAATGAGTGGATAAAAAATCTGTGGTGCATTTATACCATGGAATACTATGCAGCAGTAAAAAAGAAGGATCTCTTATCCTTTGAGACATCATGGAGGGACCTGGAGAGTATTGTGCTAAATGAAATAAGCCAGTCAGAGAAAGACAAGTATCACATGAAATCACTCATATGTGGAATCTAATGAACAAAATAGATCCAGGGACATAGAAGCATGGAACAGACTATCGAATCTCAGAGGGAAGGCGCGGGAGAGTGGGTTGGAATAGATCAACAAAAGAACTTGTATGCATATATGCATAATGCATGGACACACACAATAGGGTGTTGAAGGGTGGAGTTGGCTAGATGGGGTCAATGGGGGGAAAGAGGGCATATATGTAATACTGAACAATAAAGATTTAAATATAAAAGAGAAAAATCCTGAAATTTATAGATATTTCTCTTTTTAAATTTTTATTGAATTTTATTAGTGTGACAGGTTAATAAAGTTATATAGTATACAATTCTATAATTTATTAGTTATACATTGTATTGTGGGTTCGGGGATTTCTGATGTTAGGAAATCATAACATGTAAGATTATATTTAGCAAGTATGGTAACTCCGCTCACAGCAATTGGCATATGTATAGTTACAATTTGCATTCCAGCTATTTAAACTTAGATATCCTTGACCAGGTTGAACATACTGTGAGTAGAAATAAGATGGAGAGAGTCTTTGGAGAATGGCCTCATTGAATTGGTAAGTTAGTTTTCTCCGGATTTTGGTGATTTCCCCAGTTCTTCCATAATTCCTCAGTGCTCTGGCCATTTTCTGGTAAGTCATGGTCTTCCGGTTGCCTTTTCTTTTGCCCCAAAGTTGGGCAAGTTTTTCTTTGTTTTTTGATACAAACTGAAAGATGCCTTTGGTTTTATCTATCCACTGAATACAAGATGCCATCTCAGGATTACACAGAGATTCATGAAGGTATTCAAACAGTCGGAGCTTCTTCCTGCCTAAAAAGGAGGAAAACAACATCATACTCCACTCATTGCTGTAACAAGAAACATCCTCAGAAGGGTTTATTGACCACAATGTGAAAAGCTGTTCTGGGCCTGGTTTTCCTCCTCATTCACGTAGGCATGCATTTATCATCATTTTATGGGACTTGAAAGTCAAGGGTCTTTTTGACCTTGAACTTTCAACTGGACCTTTATTTGTTGGAAAAGTTGTCAAAAAACCTTGTATCATCCTTCAATGATAGAGAAGCCTGGAACCTCTTTACCTGAATCTCCCATTTCTCATGTGGTCTTTTTCTATAGTTAAATCTTAACTAGTATTTTTATATCAAGTGTTAAACTTTCTACAGACCAATGAAACTGAGCAAAAACTCAGGAAACTTCAGGAATGGATGACCAAATTTAGTGGTTTTAAAGAGAAGCCCCAAAAGCCATTTTCAGAAAGCAAGTCATTTGAAGGTCTTTATTCAAATGAGTTGTCAAAATGAGGTAAGGAGTATGAATCCATTTTGTAAAAGGCAAAACACTATGCAAATCTAAGTGAAATCAATAACAGAGACTTAGGTAAAAATGCGAACTCTGGGTCTGCATAATTTCTTGAAAAAGCAAGTATAGAGAACACTGGAGTGGAAAATGCCAAAATATCTTCATGACATTTTGATATTGTTTATGAGCAATGACAATGGGCACTGTGATATTTTTTCATTGCTGTTACATAAAGTGGTACTGCCAGCGTTTTTCTCGTTAGGAGCATAGCCCTTTACATTTTAGAACTACTAGACAGGAAACTTCAGGAAGATTTGTTGTGGTTTTTTGTTTGGTTGGTTGATTGGATATTTTTAGCGGAACAAAGAACAAAGGTGACCACCCATTTTGTAACTTGAGGATTGGCCTGTAAATGCCATGCCTCATCAGATCTGTCAGGGGCTAAAAAAAAAAAAAATCCATGGCCAAATTCCATTTCCCCCTTGAGAAAGTAAAATACTGGATTTCCAAACTGCTTTAAACAGCCTCTGGGGAGTCATACTCTTGCATCAGTCATCAGTCATCCAAAAACCTCAAAGGTTTCTACAAAGACTATCTTTTGCCATTGTATTCTCTTGAGTTTATGAACTGAGTAATGAAAGGGACTTACCAAAAACAAATCATGAATTAAAAGTCACAACCTTGACCCCACCCCCTCCCGTCCCTCCCTCCTACCCACACACTTCATAAAAATAAAAAATAAAAGTCACAACCTTAAACAAACTCACTGCCTCTCATCCAGTGGTTAAATTAATTATAATGAATCCACAACTTTTTTTAAAAAAATGTTTAAATTTTTATTTTTTTTAAATAAAAGTATTATATGCTCATGGTAAATGATTAAAACAGAAGCATAAAGTGAAAGTAAAAGTTCTAGTCTATCTTACATATTTCTAGAAAGTGTTTTCCTTATTTTTTGCATATATAAACATGCATATTCTTTAAAAATTACAAATGGTGCCCTGGCCAGGTGACTAGGTTGGAGTGTTGTCCCCTACACCTAAAGGTTGAGGGTTCGATTCCCTGTCAGGCACATAACCTAGGTTTTGTGTTCAATCCCCGGGGGCATACGAGAGGCAACTGATCCATGTTTCTCTCACATCAGGAGTTCAAACTGATAAAATATCAAATTATTATGGAACTTTTTTTGCAGAAAACTTAATAAAGAAGATGATTTCTATCCCAAGGACTTCACAACTGGAATAAGAATGCTAAAATAACTTGTGAAAAATTCCCTTTTGATACCTAAAATATAATATATACACATTATGTATTTATTTGAGCTAAGTGGATACTTTGCAGCTTTGTAATATCTCTATGAAGCAATAGGAAAGCTCATCCAAGATGAACAGCTTGGAGTAGTTCAGTCTGTCTGAGTTAAATTATGCTCAATCGTGATTAGAGGATATCTTGCAAATACAATTCCAAACAGATATGAAATCCCCTTAAAACTGCTTTGAGGGAGACCTGGTTCTTTTACACGATGGATCCATGTACCTTTTCCTCCCTTTTGCTGGAGAACAGGAAATTGTACCATCTGGTTTTCAGGGATGTTCTGCAGAGACTGATGAATATTCCCTTCAAGACAGAGGTCCGCAGGACGGTTCTATACAAACAATGCAGCAGGATGTTAAGTGGGACTTTCCATGTGGCCCTCAGTTGGTGGCTAAAGTCAAAAGCTGGGGGCAAAAGAGTGTTAAACATCCAGATTCTCCAAAGCACTACCCTCAACTGCAGCCAGATATCTCCCAGGGCAGAACTAGCATATATGCAGAGGACCTAGGGATGGAGGGTCATCCTTGGGTTTGTGAGGAGTTCCATATTGTCCTCTGCCTATGAGAAAGGACAGGGGATGGCTTCCCTCCCCTGAAAATATCAATGAGAACGCAAGTCCAAAAAGAATTAGTAGCAGGAATTTAGGTGTCAGCAAAAACGGGAGATGGACTTCCATTCTTGCTTTGGATGCCCATCGAGGCAAGAGGAGATAAGAGGAGAAAGATGGCAACCAAAGGAGGGCAGAGCCAAGAAAGGGGGCAGGAGCTCCTACCATTACATATGTCGAGGATATGTGGATCTCCATGGGTGGAGGGGGCTGAACTTGAGCGATCTTACCACACCCCATGCCAGAGGGCTGCCCAACAGCCAAGGACTTCCCAACCACAAGAGGCAGTGCAGTGTGTGTATGCCAGGCTGTGGGAATTGAAGTGGAAGGAGGGTTGCCAGATTTAGGAAATGGAAATATTGGGCATCCTGGCAACCCTAAATGGAGGCAGAAGAGTTTAAGCTGGAACCAAAAACTCCCTCTTCAAAGAAATGTCCTGTGGAAAGGCCATGACAGAACAATTTACAGGATCACAAAAAAAGATTTTTGCATAGCACGGTTGCAAGTAATGACAGAAGAAAAAGGAAAATCATTTCCTATTTACTCCCCACTACATTAAGACTGCATTAATAAAATGGACACATCAGAACAATGTAAAAAAAACACACGGATGGAGAGAGATGGTGGGGATATTTACTTTTGCAGGAAGCTACTAAAATATAAATTAATTGGTCCAATACATGTATTTAGTGCTTGGGGTGTGGGGGAATAGGACAGATGAATATGAAATTGTAGGTAAAGCCAGTGCAGGGGATGTTTGGGCGTTTGCCCTCTGGTTTTTAGGGACCCATCATAACTGTTCTGCAATTTTCCGGATGGACTTTAAGAGAAGCAGTGATCTTAGAACCTTGAAAGCGCCTCCTCTTTCTAGAAGTCATTCAAACCAGTCTGCCACTGGGTGAGGAGCAATAACAAAGGGCAGTTTCCTTCTTCGCAGCACTGCTCATCATCACCCACATTGCCTGTCAAATTCATACCCTGGCCCCGGTTTGGCTCAGTGGATAGAGCGGCAGCCTGAGGACTGAAAGGTCCCGGGTTCGATTCCGGTCAAGGGCATGTACCTTGGTTGCGGGCTCATCCCCAGTACGGGGTGTGCAGGAGGCAGCTGATCAATGTTTCTCTCTCATCGATGTTTCGAACTCTCTATCTCTCTCCCTTCCTCTCTGTAAAAAATCAATAAAATATATTTTTTAAAAATTCATACCCTGATTGATGGTAGCCATGAGTAAGCAGCCATGGGTAAGCATTTGCAATCTGTGCTTTCAGCTGGGTTTCAGCTATCTTTCATCAAGTGCCAAGGGGAAAGCTAGTGTGAAAGGGAAATTTACCTGTTACTGAGGGGGGTTGGGGAGAGGTCTCCCAGTGTGTATACTCACTATTGCTGTTTTCCAGTTATAGACAGGTTGCTCTGGAGGCAGCATACCATAGCAGCTGGGACTTCCTGTGACATGATAACAGTGGTTGAGGACATTCACATAGTCTTTGCAATCTAAGGTAAAAACAGAAATTTAAAAAGATAAAGTTTATGTTTGTGTGTATATGTGCTTAGACGTATAAGCTTATGTATGCAATTGCTTCCATCCATGTTCTCTTCATCACTTAGCATTTCCTTAGGGTGTTTATTGCATTATGCTGATATTATAGATACATTTTTACATATTCCATTTCTCCTACTAGAGTACATGCTCCTTGCAGGACGAGATCACATGAGTTCTTGTATATTGGAACTTCCCACAATACCCTGTGTAAACTCAATTGTTAAAATATCTGCATCTCATCTAGGCTATACTTTTATAGTCTATGGGATAATGGGTAAGAAACACAATGAGCTTACTCTAATATTTAATATGGCATTATACAATGAGATGATAGGATCTAATGCTATTATTATACATATCCATAGCACATCAATAAGTCATACTTATAAAATAAGAGCATACTTATTTTTTCCAATAGAATATATTTTGCTTGGGTGGAAGGTCTTTAAAATAAACTAGAATAATTGAAGAGCCCTTTCTGAAAATGTCAGTAAGATATATATAATAATAAAAGCGGCCCTGACCAGTTTGGCTCAGTGGATAGAGCGTCGGCCTGTGGACTGAAGGGTCCTGGGTTCAATTCCGGTCAAGGGCATGTACCTTGGTTGCAGGCACATCCCCGGTAGAGGGTGTGCAGGAGGCAGCTGATACATGTTTCTCTCTCATTGATGTTTCTAGCTCTCTATCCCTCTCCCTTCCTCTCTGTAAAAAATCAGTAAAATATATTTTAAAAAAATAAAAAATAAAAAAAGCGTAATATGCTAATTAGACCGGACAGCCGAATGTCATTCCAGACATCCATCCGGATGAAGCCATGGTGGCGGGGGCCAAAGCAGAGGTGGTTAGAGATGATGAGGCAGGCAGGTGAGCAGTTAGGGGTGATCAGGCAGGCGAGTGGTTAGGGGTGATTAGGCAGGCAGGCAAGCAGTTAGGGGTGATTAGGCAGGCAGGCAGGTAGGTGAGCAGTTAGGGGTGATCAGGCAGGTAGGCAAGCAGTTAGGGGCAATCAGGCAGGCAGGCAGAGTGGTTGGGGCAATCAGGCAGGCAGGCAAGTGGTTAGGGGTGATTAGGCAGGCAGGCAAGCAGTTAGGGGCAATCAGGCAGGCAGGCAGAGTGGTTAGGGGTGATTAGGCAGGCAGGCAAGCAGTTAGGGGCAATCAGGCAGGCAGGCGAGTGGTTAGGGGTGATCAGGCAGGCAGGCAGAGTGATTAGGGGCAATCAGGCAGGCAGGCAGAGGCTGTTAGCGGCAATCAGGCAGGCAGGCAGGTGAGAGGTTATCAGCCAGTGGTCCTGGATTGTGAGAGGAATGTCCAACTGCAGGTTTAGGCCCTAAACAGGCAGTCAGACATCCCCTGAGGGGTCCCGAATTGCGAGAGGGTACAGGCCAGGCTGAGGGAGACCCCCTCCGTGCATGAATTTCGTGCATGAATTTCGTGCACTGGCCTCTAGTGCTTAATAAAAAATGGTATGTGGAATGTCGTTCTCTACGTATTCTGCATTTTATATGTGAGACTTTAGATTGATTTAGGCTAGCTAACCCTGGATGCATTTTGCCTTTGTTAGAATTAATTCTAGCTGCATTGGGTAAAAACAGTCTTCTCTGTTCTGATCATTATTCTTGCATATGTATGTTACCAACCAGCCATTTGATGTAGCAGCAGAAGAAGGAGCTAACATCTTACCTGGCAGGTACTGAAGATCTCCAGTTGAATGTTGCCTCAATACGTCAAAAGCATCTTCAAATGCTTGGCCCAGCCTATCTTGTTCGACACAAGCCTGCTAGAACAATAGCAATACTCTGGAGTTGCGAAATTACCAATTGGAGGGTTTCACAACCATGGCACTATGACATTTTAGGCTGGCCAAGTCTTCATTGGGGGGGAAATCGGGGGTCTGTTCTGGGCATTTTAAGGTGTTTAGCAGCATCCCAGGCCTCCATCCACTTACTAGATGCCAAGAGCACTCCAACAGCTGTGACAATCAAAATGTCTCAAATATATTCAAATATATCCCTGGGGACAAATTCAACCCTAATTGAGAGCCATTGCTCTATAATACATATTTAGAGACCAGTATTCATACTATATTGTATAGTATTTTTTAAATGGTGTTTTTTATTGATTTTTTGGATAAGAGGAAAGGAAAGGGAGAGATAGAAAAATTGATACGAGAGAACATTATTGTCGTAGCTGGTTTGGCTCAGTGGGTAGAGCATTGGCCTGCAGACTGAAAGATCCTGAGTTTGATTCTGTTCAAGGGCATGTACCTGTGTTGCAGGCCCCTCCCAGGCCCAGGCCCTGATGTAGGAGGCAACCAATCATGTGTTTCTCTCACATTGATATTTCTGTCTGTTCCTCTCCCTAAAAATCAATGGAGCCCTAACCGGTTTGGCTCAGTGGATAAAGCGTCGGCCTGCAGACTAAAGGGTCCCAGGTTCGATTCTGGTCAAGGGCATGTACCTTCATTGCAGGCACATCCCCAGTAGGAGGTGTGCAGGAGGCAGCTGATCGATGTTTCTCTCTCATCAATGTTTCTAACTCTCTATCCCTCTCCCTTCCTCTCTGTAAAAAAAATCAATAAAATGTATATTTTTAAAAATCAATGGAAAAATATCTTCGGGTGAAGGTGAGGATTAAAATTTAAAAAAAGAAACATCATCAATCAGCTGCCTCCTGCACACGCCACACTGGGGATTGAGCCTCCAACCTGAGTATGTGCCCTGACCAGGACAGGAATTGAACTGGCTACCTCCTGGTGTGTAGGTCGATGCTCAACCACTCAGCCACACCAGCGGGGCTATAGTAAAGTATTTTAACATTCTTGTAAAATTTTTTAAGGAATTGTAGAGATGAAGACTGATTTGGAAAAAGGGATCAATAAATTATCTTTGTGAATAGAGTGTTGGCCTGCGGACTGAAAGGTTCCAGGTTTGATTCCAGTCAAGGGCATGTACCTTGGTTGAGGTCACATCCCCAGTAGGAGGTGTGCAGGAGGCAGCTGATCGATGTTTCTCTCCCATCGATGTTTCTAACCCTCTCTCTTCCTTCCTCTCTGTAAAAAGTCAATAAAATATTTTTTAAAAATTACCTTTAATCAAGAATCTGAAATGTTATTTAAGAACAAAATGCCCTTAATTTCTTTTCTTTTGTTAATCCTCAACCAAAAGAGATGGGGAGAGACAAAGAAAGAAACATTGATGCAATTGGTTTCCTCCCACAAACACCTCAGCCTGGCCTGTACCCTCTCCAAACTGGCAGTCGGACATCCCTCTCGCGATCTGGGACCACTGGCTCCTAACCACATACCACCTGCCTGCCTGATCACCCCTAACCACGAATTTCATGCACTGAGCCTCTAGTAAATAAATAAATAAGCTTTTTTAAAAAAAGATTTAAAGTAGAAGGGTTGTGCAAACCATTGCTTACTCTTATTAATCTGATCCATGTATTTTATTTTCAAAATGGAAAATGAATAAAGATTTTTACATGACCACTTACCATACTTCTTATTAACTTGGCAATTCTGAAAAAGATTAATATTTAAAAAAACAAAATTAGGTAGTGTCTCTATTTAATTTTCCTCTGAATTAAAAGATCTTACTCAAAATTTTTTCTAAAAAATGTCTTACATAAACCAAGAGTACCATCTGATTCGTATATGATGAGTACAAATTTTCTTCCTATAAACATTTTTTTTGTTCTTCTATCATTACAAAACTTCTTCAATTTAAAAAAGCTAAATAGAATTAATTACCTACATGGTTTAACTTATAAGAGAATACAGAAATAACTCACGTATATATTTAAATATTTAAAAGTATTTCTAACTTCTGATAATCAAAATTATTTTCTACGTTAAGCATAGTTATTTGGTTTTAGCAATGATTTTTTAAAACATTTCTGATGTTCTATAGCCTTCAGAGAATCTGGTGAAAGACATACTTTTTTTCTTATGAAATGTAGAATTATATCACAAATAAAATATAGGCTTTGAAACCCATCCATGGACTTCCTAAAATCCTGAGTTAAGAACCCTGATCCATAATTTTATATTATCTACTTTCTTATCCCTGTAAGTAATTTAGATTTTGTTTTAAATAAACAATTATCACACTGACCCACATTAAATGTTTTTTAATTCTACGTTCTATAAAACTTCACACACACAAATAAATCCACATAACAATAAAGTGTATGGGGTAAACAACATTGCTTATCATTTCATTTAGGACACCTAACAACTGTTTATACAAGTTGTTAACATTTATCCTGCAAACACAATGAGCTTACTCTAATATTTAATATGGCATTATACAATGAGATGATAGGATCTAATGCTATTATTATACATATCCATAGCACATCAATAAGTCAAATATAAAAATTCTGTTCAGCTCTTTGAAATCACTATATCATGTCAGTTAAAAGAGAATACGAAAAGAAAAGCCATAAAATAGGAAACTATTGAGATGATGGGTGTTAGCTAATATTATTGTGGTCATCATTTCCTAATATTTGCTTATATCAAATCATCGTGTTGTACACCTTAAATTTATACAATGTTATACCTTAATTATACCTCATAAAAGCTGGGAAAAATGTATTTTTCAAAAGCCACGTCAATGACTTTCAATTAAATATGCCTCTACTCACAAGCGTCAAAGCAAATACATGAGTGTTGTACTTTGAATTAAATACTTAAATGAAGCTACTCCTTTTTTACTACAATACCCCACGAAACTGCCACAACTCTCAAAAGCAGCAAACTCAAAGGGAAGAAAAAAGTTTGAACACGAATTGATCACTCCGCTGCTTAATATATCTTGAATCAGGACAGGCAATAAATAAAAAGCACTCATTAGACCAAAGGAGAAAATGAATAACCATTTTTACAAGACGCTTTGAAAAGAACAAGTTTAACACTTACCAGGAAGGCACTTCAACCCCTTACAATGATGCTTCATGAATATCAGAATTGTTAAGACAGAACTGTCAAGAACTCACTGCAGAGTTGCATTAAATAGCTGTTTTTAAGGAAGTGCTACAAAAGGGGATTTTTTTTAAAAGATACAGTGCCTTCATAATTTCTCTTTCATGATATGGCCAGTGGACACCAGGGGCTAATATTTTGAAGAGGCGCAGAATAGTTTGTATCCTATGGGCCAAAGCATTAGAACAAACCCCGTGAAACCCCCACCCAGTGTAAGTTGCAGCCCTTCGGCCTGCACAGCCCTATTGGAGACTCTGACCTGTGCAATGCTTGCCCCTCCTCTTTTTTTTATTCCTGTTACTTCTCCCCTGATTCTGAACCTTAATCGCCTTTCTTCCTTTTTTTATATGTATTTTTTATTTTTCTTAAATATACTTTCATTGATTTCAGAAAGGGAGAGAGAGAAATCAATGAGAGAGAATCATTGATTGGCTGCCTCCTGCACACCCCGCTACAACCCAGGCATGTGCCCTGATCAGGAATCGAATTGTGACCTCCTGGTTCATAGGTCCACACTCTATCACTGAGCCATGCCAGCAAGGCAATATAGGGCCTTTCTTGTTTGGACTATTTAGCAGCTGTCTCATTCTGATCTCCCCAAATGGGTCTCTTTACTCTCAAACTTCTTTACTCATACTGTGATTTACTGATCGCCTTACTTACGAGATTTTAAAGGCATAGGCCTTGCCTTGGCATTGGAGGCTATTCATTCTAGCCTTAGTTCTATTGACCATAGTTCATTTTATTTATTTATTTACTTACTTAGTTACTTACTTACTTGCTTGTTTACTTATTTATTTATAATACTCACCTGAGGATATTTTTTCCATTGATCCTCGGAGAATGGAAAGGAGGGAGAGAGAGAAACATTGACAACAGAGAGATACAGATTGGTTGCCTCCCACATGAGCCCCGACCCTGGGGCCAGGGATCAAACCTGCAATTCAGTCCAGCCAGTGTTGCTCAGTGGTTGAGTGTTGACTTAGGAACCAGGAGACCCCAGTTTGATTCCCAGTCATCAATTCCCAGTCAGAGTGCATACCCATCATTGATATTTTTATCTCTCTCCCTCTCCCTTCTTCTCTGAAATCCATAAAAAAATGTATTTAAAAAAAGAAAAAAGAATACATGCACCCTATGTTCCTAGCAGCACAATTTACAAAAGCTCAGATTTGAAAATAGCCTAAATGCCCAATAACAGATGGGTGAATAAAAAAACGATGGTAGCTGTAGCCAATTTGGCTCAGTGGATAGAGCGTCGGCCTGCGGACTGAGAGGTCCCGGGTTCAATTCCGATCAAGAGCATGAACCTTGGTTGCGGGCACATCCCCAGTAGGGGGTGTACAGAAGGCACTGATCGATGTTCCTCTCTCATCAATGTTTCTAACTCTCTGTCCCTCTCCCTTCCTCTCTGTAAAAAAATCAATAATATATATATATTTTTAAAAAGCCCTAACCGGTTTGGCTCAGTGGATAGAGCGTCAGCCTGCGGACTGAAAGGTCCCAGGTTCGATTCAGGCCAAAGGCATGTACCTTGGTTGGGGGCACATCCCCAGTAGGAGGTGTGCAGGAGGCAGCTGGTCGATCTTCTTCTCTCATCGATGTTTCTAACTCTCTATCAGTCTCCCTTCCTCTCTGTGAAAAATCAATAAAATATATTTTTAAAAAAAAGAAAGAAAGAAAAGAAAAACCCTAACTTAACTCTGGTGCCATGTCACATATAGAAATTTTTTGATATTTGCAACCATAGTAAAACAAAGATTTATATTTTTTGATACTTACTTTATATATTTAAATGCCATTTAACAAAGAAAAATCAACCAAAAAAATGAGTTCATGTGTCACCTCTGACACGCGTGTCATAGGTTCGCCATCACTGGCCTATGTAATACTTTCAACAACAAAGATTAAAAAACAAAACAAACAAACGAACACAAAAAAAAACAACAACCTGAAACTGAGGTAAGTGCCTTTCGCAGGGAATTCAGAAATCAAACCTTTGGTCTACGGGCCGATGCTCGAACCACTGAGCCAAACCAACCAAAACTTCACTGAGCCAAACCAACCAAAACTTCCAGCGCTCATTTTAGAGGAGATTCTATTGCTTTCCCTGCACACTTGGATCGTGTAGATGTTTAGTAGAGGTTTAGCAAATAGTTAGTAGAGGTTTATGGGTGCTGATCTACCAGTAAACTGCTTGAAGCTGCTGCATTTGCCAAGGGCGTCAAGTCTTATTCTTTAGCTTGAAGGTTTCTTTGTGGTTTCCAGTGGCTCTGATGGAAACTATGGGTGCTCCGTCCACCTAAAAATGCTTCATTCTCAGCCCACCCATCTTACCTGTTCTTCTGAATCCAATAAGCATCCACAGGTACCAGGTAGAAATCACTCACTCCTCTGAAACGCAAGCCTGCATCACCCTAACTCACCGGCAACTTTCTGCCGCTTTAATAGCTGTCACCGGTAGCCAGGGGGAAAAACTACCCAAGGATTTTTAGTAAATCTTCTACAGGGTGGGGGAGGGATTTTTCTAATCAGCATTTTGGAATCCTAAATCACCGTTGATATGGGACTATTGTTCTAAACTACTTTGTTGACCTGTTTTGTTATGCAAATATACACACCATCCCTCTTCTGAAATGTAGATGTTTTATATAATCCTATAAAGCCTGAATGGTTTAGTGATTGAGCCTTGACCTATCAACCAGGAGGTCACAGTTGGATTCCCAGTCCTGGCATATATCCGGGTTGCCAACTAGATCCCCAGTGTGAGGTGTGCAGGAGGTGGCCTATCAATGATTCTCTCTCATCATTGATGTTTCTATTTCTTTCTCCCTCTCCCTTCCTCTCTTAAATTAATGAAAAAAATATATTTAAAATATAAATAATAATAATTATATATAAATATATATATACATATATATATAATCCCTATCTGTGGTTGATGAGTTTTTAATCTGTACTGTCCGCAAATCTATGTCCTCTTCAAGCCACTTTTTTATTATGTTCGTTTATCCAATATATATTACTGAGCACTGTCTTATGTTCAGCCTGACAGCCCTGTACAAGTTCTAATGAGGAGAAATGACTTTAAAAAAAAACAAAAAACTAGAGAAGTATGACATAATGGTAAGCGCTGAGAAAACGATTAGAGAAAGGTGATGGAGAGAGAGTATGTGATCCTGGCAAATGGTCAAGAAAATCCTCTGGCAGAAACACGTGTGAGCTGAAATCCAAGGGTAAGAAAGAGAGAGCAAAAGAAAAGCAGAGATGCAAAGATCAGAAGTTTCTCCTGACAGAGAGAGCAACAAGTACAAAAAAACTTGAGATAGAAATGGGTTTGGCTTCTTCAAGGCTCAGGAAGAAGGGGTGCTAAAACAAAAGGAACCTGTGGGCCAAGAGCAAAGTTAGAGAAGAAAAAGGGGGAGTGGGTCCAGCTCAACTCACACATTAAGCCAAAAGACTAAGAAAAGCCCTACCTGGATTGGCTCAGTGGATAGAGCGTCAGCCTGTGGACTGAAGGGCCCCGGGTTTGATTCCTGGCAAAGGCACAGGCACGTGCCCGGGTTGTGGGCTCCACCCCAGTATGGGGCCTGCAGGAGGCAGCCAATCAATGATTCTCTCTCATCGTTGATGTTTCTATCTCTCTCTCTCCCTCTCCCTTCCACTCTGAAATCAATAAAAATATATTTTTAAAGAATAATAATTACTTGCTCTCAATTATTCTTTAAATTTTACTGAGACTTGTTCTGAGACTCAACATAGGACCTCTCTCTCTCTCTCTTTATTTTTGGATTTTTAATAACTGAAACAAAAAATGATCTAAAACCGCAGCTTCTGGAAGAACCATGTGTTGTGCTTGCCAGACATGTACCTCTCTTCAAACTTTACCTTGGCCTCCTGTTGAGCCTTGCATTTTAGAGCCGGGTTTCTGAAGAGGTCTTTGCTGACGACAATTTTGTCCAAGGGAAGATCCACAGAATATCTATGGGCATGAGGTGACTGGAATTCACAGAAGAATTGATCTTTGACCTCTTGGCAATTTTCTTCTTGCCCACGGCAGCTGTCACTTTTTGGTGATAGAAGGCAATGCCATCCACCAGAGCACGGCTGGAGGGAAGTCTCAGGTGGCATCATCAATGTTCTACACGATGACCGCTTTGCATCCGGAGTAGCGTCCAGCCAGGACCAGCACCACCTCCCCGGGTTTCCTGCCCATTTCGAAGGCAGCCACTTAGGCCTAGAGCAGAAAGAAAACCCAACATAGTATCTCTCTTGATGAATGTTTCATTGCACTTGAATCAAGGTATATTTTGCAATTATTGTATGAAGGGCCAAATAAATGTCAGGTCTAGGTGGTTGATAATGTTCGAATTTTTCACATCTTTATTGATTTTTTAATAAGATTAGACACCACAAAGAGTAATATCCAACTATAATTGTGGATTTGCCTATTTTTTCCCTTCAGTTCTGTCAACTTTTGCTTCCAGTGTTTTGAGTCTCTATTATTAGGTTTATACTCATTTAGAATTATTATGTGCTCCTGATGAATTAAGCCTTTTGTTATCATAAAATTTCTGTCTTTCTTTCTGGTAATCCTTGAAGTCTACTTTGACATTAACTACACCAGGATTTTTACTTTCCTTTTACTTTTTATCCTTTTTACTTTCAACATGTCCACACTGAGTCTTTATATTATATTTAAAATATATCTCTTTAAGCAGTATATAATGTGGGTGTTGCTTATCCAGTTTAACGATATCTGCCTTTTTAGTCTAATTTAGTAATTACTGATATGGCTAAGTTTAAGTCTATCATCTGGCTATTTGTTTGTTTCTTTGTTCATTTCCTGCTTCCTTTTGAATTAATTATTTTTATTATTTCATTTTATTGCCTCCATTAGCTTTTTATAATGTAATGGCATGTGATGACATAATATACTTCGGTAATTTATTTGTAGTGGTTGCTCCAGGAATTACAATATTCA